TTGGGATGCTATCAGCAGGAGCAATTCAATTTGCCCCGAGAATATTCTGTTTTTGACGGATCAAATAGATAATAGGAAGTTTAAGATGCGGCGGCGACGAGAAAGTCAAATAAGCATTAGCTTGACAAGGCAGAACAACAACTTTGCACGTGCATCACGCTTTTTTGTACATTTCTTTGCCGTTAACTGCACTACTACCAGTGAAAATGCCTGATTTCACGTTTTGCGAAGGACGTAAAAAAGCAATGACAAAATTCATTCTCTTCGTGAACTTGGATATAGCTGACAGAAATTCAGCTCTAGAAGAGTTCACTTGCATTTGACAAAGTAAGCGAGTTGGAATAATCACGATCGAGACTGAAAAAAATATGAATTCACTTTTCCATGCGACGTTTTCGTGGCTGTCAGCCGTCGTGGTATCTTTTAAAAACTCTCTATAGATATATTTACGCAAGACGTGGCCCATACAAGCCTGAATACCTGTTGTAAGCTGAAGCTTGTATTTTTGGAAAAGCGTCTTTAGTTTTCGAGCAGACAGTATTTTGAAATCAGATGGGGATTTTATATCAAACTGAAAATTTCCTCACTGCGTGCATTTCTTTGGTGCATGAGCCAGACAAGCCGAGAGACAACTCAGGAGATGTGTTTCCCAATTGGGCACAATAGTACAATGCATTTTTTGTGCCCAATCGGGAGCCGACATCCGCTTGAATTTTTGGAAATGGTCCGGTGAGAGTCGGTACCCAGGGGCTCTACCGCCCTTACTTGAAAACTTTCGTCCCGTCTTTTCTCCCGACCCGACTTACTGCCCCTGGGTCTCCGAGGATGGGGTAAGAAAGAAGTTGGATAAAAACGTTTATACTCCAGTCGACCCTTGCACAGAATAATTTTTCACTCTGGGAAGGCGCAGCTCAGTAATCCAGAAAGCTATCAGCTCGATTCCTGGTTAGAGATGTAGCCACTAAGAGAGCTGGAGCAGGCATGCATCAATTCTTCCAAAGCACTCTACTTACATTTACATTGTTGAACAAGCAACGAAAAACTAAAAAAACACCCTCGAAAAGGGATACAAATTTTTATTTGAAAATGACCGTCACGACGATTGTAGGCTTATATGGACAATAAATTCTTGTAGAGGGGAATGCTTTAAATCGCTGAGGAAGAATGAAAGGCCTCACAATGTTAACAGTTGTGATAAATGCTCTTGTACAGCAGGACGAAATTGTTACTGTAATCACGTTTATATTATATAAGTGTTCGAATTCACTGAATTCCCAAGAACTCGAATGTGCACAAGCTCAAAACAGTAGCACAAACCAAGGACCTAGGGTACGAACCCTAATTCATATAATGCATACAAGGCATATAATGTCGTCAGTCCTTGTTACAGGGAGAAATGGGGGCTTTAAGGTGTCCCTTGTATGCAGCCTGGCAACATACTGTCCAAAATAAAGAGAGGGCAAATTAGTTCTTTCATTCACTTAAGACAATTAACTGTCCTGTAATGGTTTCAACTTAATTAACTGGACACAAGGTTCCACAGGTAGTGAGTTAAACATCTCTCTCTAATGGAGGCAAACTTCAGTGTAACGTACTATTCCAATTTGCCAAGACCTAGAGCTGTTGATAGCTCCTTTCCTGAATTCCCAATTGACACTGACACACCAGCTTGAGTGGGATTGCAAATGCCCCTATTTTCAGAAGGAGAAATTTATAATTTGTTTAAAAATTCCTAATCCATCCTTAATTGAGAATCAAAAGGTCAGAGCAAAAATACGTTGTAGTTTCAAAGTAAAAGGTTCAGGTCAACTAGCTGTAATTTGCACTTGGCTGCGATTGGAAACTCAACATCTCTCACTGCAAACAAGGTTTGTTCAAAATACTCTCGTGTCACAGAATGATGTTTCTAATAATGTTGAATGGCAAATTGGTCTTAAGCAGCAACTAAATATGCTGTCGAGTACATGAAAAATATTGGCTTAGCATGTATATTTATATGTACACATACATTCATATTCAGGGCTTAGAGGTGGTGTGGTCATATCAAGCACAATTGGCTGCTTTACCAAACAGAAGAGAGATAGATAATAAATATCACGTTACCGGATGGTTTATTAGAAATCAAATGCCCTTTTACATTATGAAACTTGACACCTGAGAAGGCAAGTTCTGATCGAAGGTTTTATTGTTACATAGTTAATGGTAAGCCTGAGCTCAAAAGGGTCCACCTTTTTCAGGGTCATTTGGGTTGGGCAGGATTAAAGTGGTGCTGTCTTCAATATTCTTCTCACTTAATATTTAGCATTTTGTTACCTTCTACCTTTAGTGCTAAAATTTCAGATCATAGTTCAGAAATTTCAGCGTCGGATTCGTGTAAGCTGTGTCGCTCAGCATCATTTGGCTCAACACAGACCTACCATATTTGGTTTCCCTCGAATCAGATTCCTGTTCAACTTTATCTTATTTTAGATCTTAGGTATAAGGTATGGCTTGTGTACAGGGCATTTAAACACGATAGAGGGGAGGCTGCACGTTTTCAAAAGCTACCGAGCAGTATTAAAAGACAATACAATACAATACTTCCGAAGTCATCATCCCCATAATGAAAAGAACAGACGATTGTGCGTTTCTGCCCCTAGTAAAAAAGCAATATTTGAGAGATGAATATAGCGGTACGAATTAGAACCCACATACAAAAAGACCAAGTTACACACCTTTACGGTTGAGTACTCCTCCCTTTTAATTCGCTGCAGCCGTGCTAGCTTTTAATACATATGCGTGCTGATCGCTTTCAATCTTATGTCCCATTTCTTAGCGTTGCGTTTGTTATCGAACATGATATCGCCGTGTGACTTGCAAAGACGTACCGCACAACTGCGACTACTTTAGCCTGGGAAAAGGAATCGCTGGTATTTGTTAATGTTTATAGAGGAAAAGAATGGAATAAAGCGATTCATAATGGCCTGACTTTGCCTCTTGTACTGACATGGTACTGTCACGCGAGTCAAAACTCAAAGATGGCGGCTGAAGTCTTTCCGCGAATGACGTCATAAATCAAAAATTCAAGATGGCGCCCAGACTTATTAAAAGCGTGTATATTTCAAAAATCGTAAATGCTCGTGTTTCCCGCAAAACACCGCTAATCGACCCTACCGTAGACATTAAGGCTGTTTCTAACGCAAATATCCTTTCTTGTAAATTCTTGCACGGTTGCTTTTCGGCAAATGCCCTGAATTTTGCTTACCATTTGCCTAAACCGTGGACCGACCGGTTTTCCCATGTTCTGATTAACAATCATTGAGGCCGTCTTGTGCCGTAACGTATATTCATGGTTTCTTGAATGTCACGTGGTCAAGCGAATTGGAGACGAATGGGCCAATTGCACGATGACTCCTTTTTACTACTAAGACCAGAATTCATTTTGTTTTTCCTCTCATATTTAAATTTGGTAGTCCCAATGAGGTTTAAATAACAAAAGGGTTAATTTGCACAATAACGCAATACCCTGAAGGATTCTTCGTCACGGCGTCCAATAAATCTTCTAAGACAGAACAAAAACGTGGGGGCGTCTAACTTGGGACCAGTTCCAAATGTACTGCTCGACTTGTGGCGCAGGTGAACAGAGCAATACACACCTTTGTCATCTCTGTGTCATCCTTCACTTTTGATTTTAAGAACAAAGGACCAGCGAAGTCAACTCCTACACAGCTGAAAGCGTGCACATCCCTCACTCGAAATTCTGGTAAATCGGGCGATTCGGGAACTGGATAGCTCCGGCCTTGAAATCTTTGACATATATTACATCCGAACAGTTCCTTCTTCACAGTTTGTCTCCCCTTTGGGATCCAGTACTTAGAACGAACTTCTGTTAAGGTTTCCTTTAAACCATTGTGCATGACACGTTCGTGACAATAGCGAATGATCAATGACGTGACACAATGATTCCGGGACAAAAGCGAGGGAAATTTCGTGTCAAATGATGCTTGGCTGTTGTCAAGTCGTTCTCTGCAACGAATTATGCCTTTCTTGTCCTTGAACAGTCCAATTTGCTTCTCGAGTTCGTCTACTTGCAAATGCCCTTGCATCTCTTTTATCCACAAGATTTCGGCTTCCTGTATTTCATTAGTACTCAGAGGTCCAGAAATCGTTTCCTTCCGGCTGATATTGTGAACGAAGCGTTTGACATAGGCGGTGACCCTTAGTAGTCGCTCAAGACTGCTGTACTTGTTGCAGTCGATGATAGCAGCCGCGGATGCTTCTATCGCTGTCAGATTATGTTAAAGTCGAGGATTTAATTTCCTGGAGACATTCTGCTGGTGGTTCGGTTTCGGTCTGGAGTGAAGGCCACATATCCTCGCTTTTTTGCAATCACTCGGGACCACGAAACCATACTGGACTCTCACTCAGCTTTGATGCGTGTGTTCCTCTTGACGGAATATCGGCTGGGTTTTCTGTTCCCGGACAATGATTCGATTACTCGGTTTTCCACGAACGTCTCCTACTCCTTGTTCGTCCCGATGATCCAATGAAGTGCAGTTGTGGAATCAGTCCAGCAGTAGATCGTTTCAATTGCCACAAGTGGTCTGAGGGCCTCCTCAACTGTAGTCATTAATCTGGACAAGATCAGAGCACATAACAATTCTAAGCGCGGAATAGTGAGCTGAGATAGTGGGGCCACTCTTGTTTTCGACGCCACAAATGCTGTTTGGATACTTGTACCACTCGTTGCTCTCAAATAGACCACTGCAGCGTACCCCGATAATGCGCTGTCACAGAATCCGTACAGGTGATAACTGACTGGATCTTGTTGATCCCCGTGACTATAACACCTTGGAATTTTCACGTACTCAATCCTTGCAAGTTCATTGCACCAGTAGCCCAGTCTTCCTTTATTCCAGTCGGTAGCAGGTCATCCCAATTGATTTTCTGTTTGCAGAGCTCTTGAAACAGTACTTTCATCTGAAATGTAAGACAACTCCCAGTGGATCAAATATCTTAGCCACGACCTTCAAGATGCTTCGTTTCGTTGGTGGCAACTCGCAGGCCAACTGTGCTAAGGGTTTGAGTGGTAAAATCAAACAGTCTTCAAGGTAATTCCAATTAACTCCAAGAACCTTCTGTTCGCACTGAGAATATGCTGCATTATCCATTCCAATGGTGTTTTTTGCATAAGTGTCATCTTCTTCTCGGAAACTGCCCTTTGTTACTTGATGACTCGCTTCGCGTTCAGAGAGTTTGTCGCAACCTTGCATGAGGCACCGTAGTTGCGGTGAATTCGACTGCCACTTCCGAAGATAAAATTCGCCTTCTGCCATGATTTTCCTTGAATTAACGAACAGATCGAACTCTCTTTCGACGGTGGACTCCCCAGACGTCATGTCGTCTACATAAAGACTGTTTAACAAGGCCTTAACAAGTTCTGAGTTTCCATTTGAGTATTTCTGGAGGTGCTGCTTTATCGTGGCGTTCAGAAGAAATGCGCTTGACGTTACTCCAAAGACGACTCTGCAAAATCGGTAAACGACTTCCTTTGGATTATCCTTGTGGATGTCATCCAGCCAGATGAAACTGAGCGCGTCTCTATCACTGGGAGATACGGAGACCATTAAGAATGCCTTTTCGATGTCTGCAACCAGGGCGACCTTGTGAAATCGTAATGTCAGAACATTGGCAATACTAGGAAGAAGGCTTGGTGCAGGGTAAAGACAATCGTTTAAATACGGGTTTCCATTAATCTTAGCTGATGCATCGTACACCACCCTGAGTTTTGTTGTCTCTTTGTCTCTCCTGATCACGGGGTGATGTGGGAGATAATGCGTTTTTCCTGGCCCAGGGTGAGATGTTTTGCTGTTTTCCACCTTCTCAATGATTTCCTTGTCAAGCTGATCTTGAATGACAGCATCGTACTCGTGCGTGATTTCTTCTGATTGAAGTCTTCGCGTGAGAGACTTCAATCTTCTTTAACAGAGTATGTAATTGTCGGGCAGAGTTACGTGACACTCTTTCCACGGTAGTTTGACCTCATATCGGCCGTCCTTGAACGTAATATCTTAGTTGAATCTTTCGTACACTGATTTTTCTTCCGGTGAAATCCCTATGGCTTCCAAATCCCAGAATTAGGCTACTTTTCTTTCTAAGGTCCAGTTTTCGGAACTTTCATCCATGGATTGATCATGAGCGTCCACGCGCAGTGCGTGAGTGTTCGTGAAATTGACTTGTGTCGAGTTTAATGCAGATCTTCCTTGAACAGGTCCAGAGAGTACCGAGCCAACCTTGGTTTGCATAGCTGTCGGACCGCTCTCCCCCGTTTAATAGCGCCGGTTAGAAAGTGCCAATAATAATCGGCTCCAATCAAAACATCGACGTCCACTTTGTTTTCATTTTCGTCAGCTAAAATCGAATCTGCTAAAAGCAGCCCACTGAGATGCTGATAAGTACTTGCGGCAAAGTTGACAGCTTCATTTTGCAGTGGAGAGCAGATAATAGGAAATGCGTAAGCGTTTACGTACAAGTATGTTTCCGACGTCATTCCTTGCACACAAAGTTGAACTAAATCGCGTGATTGTATCTGGCCTGTTTCGGATCCAAATCTTTTTATCATCAATGTCTCTTGATTAATAGTTGGCAGCTGAAGAGCATTTCCCAGTCGAGTGGACACATACCTGCGTTGACTCCCAGTGTCGAAATTTAAGTCCAGCTTGAATGTGGTGATTCGGATCATCGGCCCTAGAAACAAAAATGTTTGCTGTTTGAAGTAAAACTGACGTTTTAGTATCAATAAACAGTACAGTGTTTTCGTTCCCACGAGAAGTTATTTTTGGATTGCCTACGGTATTTTCCGGCATAATGGGATTTTGTTCGCAAACGCATACGTCATGATTTTGCCCTTGAAATTTGAAACATCTTGTTGTGCTTTGGTAATCACGTGCAATGTGTGATTTCTTGAGACAAATAAAACACCTCCCTTGTTTGAGAAGCAAGGATTCTCTAGCCTTCACGTCGGTGATAACGTTATAACGTACAGAGGGATGTGACTTGTGACAATAAGTGGAATTTATCTTTCGATCAAATGACGCCAAAGCTGCCGCTATTGGATTCCCTTCAGCTTCTTCTCCCTTCCATTTTAGCAGCGATGAGTGTACTTGATTAGGACGGCTTGATGTTCCCACACTCGAAGACGCGCATCTTTCTCGGGCCTCTAGTTCGGTCTTAAAGGCCTTTAATAGCTCATCTAAATTCCAATTGTCGCCACAGAATTGACGGCTGAGTATAAGGCGTAGATCTTCGGGTATTTTTGCCATCATAATGGGGATGAGCAGTGTGCCATACTGAGCCGAATCCACCCCCTTGTGCTTGTAATCCACGCACGTGGATTTCAACTTGGTCGTATATCTGGCGAATCTTCTTGATATCGGCCATCGTGCTCACACTGTTTAACTTTAACATAGCTTCCATATGCGAATTGATGGTGATCTGTTTTTGAACAAACCTGTCTTGAAGAAGATCAATTGCCGTTTTGTAATTTTCTTCTGTTAGAGATAATCCCGCAGTCGTGGCATATGCTGCACCCTCTACTAGGCTTCTTAAATGATTAAATTTCTCGACGTCCGAAATACCATTTTCGTGAACAGCAACCTTGAAACTATCCCACCATTCTTGCCTCGTTTTGGATCAGCCGAGAATTTCTTTAAGACGAGCTTGGGAAGTTTGGTTGAATGTGACGTTGACTCTGTAGCTTGAGGACTTGTAGACACCGCAGAAGGTTCCGAAGGTTGTGAAGGTGTCTTCAATTCCTTTAAGAGTGAATCCAGTTTGAGTAAATTAAGGTGAATTTCATCTTTGATGCCCTCCTATTCTTCAATTTCCTTATCAATGTTGCCTTCCTCGACGAGCTCCAAAATAGACTTGTCCAAGTCTTCCAATACTGAAAGGTTTCCCTTTAGAGAGATCCTCAACAGTTCTATTTGCTCCTCGCCGTCAGGAGCTACTTCTGATACTCGTTTGAGTAATTTCGAAACATACGCGCGGTGGCCACTTCGAATCTTGATTTGCTGTTTAAGATCCACAGACATGATTCTCCTCGTTCCTTGGATCCGGCTCCGTATCCGGCTCGAAGGACCAAATTTGTGTTGAGAATGAATAATAAATCCAACTCCTTCGAAAGTGATCTCCTGTGTTTCCAAAAACGACCCGTTCTGTACAAAAGCTGATTACATCTGAATATATCGCGTGAGCATGCAAACCTAAAATACATCGATAACATCTTAATTCTGTTCACGATAATAACCGACAACGTTGATTGACTTGATACATCATTCCGTTTACTATAATAACATCTAACCTATCAAGCGTAAAAGCGAATTATCTGTAATCCAATCAAAAAATGGTTAACTTGACAGCTCCTAGTAACACAATGGCAAAGTAATAAAAAACAAAAACAAGACAAAACCAATGTCACACTATTTCGGAAAGCTATCGACAGTCAGAGGGTGGGGTATATATGCTGGAACAAACAAGTTATATAAACGCAGATAACTCTCTTCAAAGACATGCTCTAAGAAAGGATATTTGTAAAGCAGGTCTGTACAAACGAAATCCTGTAAAGGGCCGGGGGTGAATCTATAAAATAATATGATTGAGATATTTGAAAGGCCCACTGCTTTTAACCTTTGTACGTTTTGGTCGTAAATTGCTCAGTTTTATGTATCACGGAATTACTTGGGTTTTCGATATAAAGTCCCAACATCACTCGGGGAGATTGTTAGGAGTTAAAACAATTGCGACGTAACCAAGAGGTCATGTAACGCCCCGTAACGTAAACCTTTTAATCCTGTTTTCCGAGAAAGGTCCCGGGGAAGCTAATGCTTTCCACGAAAGCTGGAGTCCACCGGACAGATGATAACCGGGCTGAAAAAAGGATACACATATTAAAGAGGCAAAGAAATTGTATACCATATGAACCGGTATCCGATAGCAAAGGATGATGGGGGTGGAAAAAAATACCGAGTAGCAATGATTTTCTGAGTCCGCTATCTTGTTATGGGAAAATTGATACCCTTTAATTAGCATTACAGGTCTCTTTGAAGTGCTCTCCTTACCTGTTTGATCCTTTAATTTATATTACTTTCATTCTTAGCAAATTCACCGTTTCGGACTTCTGAGAAGATAAATAACTCAAGACTATGGCTTCCCTAACAGGAAGCTCCCAAGAGGAGCGCCGGTGGTTAGTGGTGGGTATTGCTCTTCATTGTGTCCTTACTCCATGCCTCAGAGATAAGATCGAAGCTGAATTGATTCCATTTTACCAACATTTGGTGCTGAGCTTTGGAGTGGACAAACAAACGTTCACATCTTTCATGAAGAATATTCCACCGTCCACGGCGAACTTGAACTATGAGAGTATCAACAATAACCGCACTGCCACGCACCGCAGTCACTACGACTACCGTATAAAGGATGAAGTGTCTTTGGCCAAGCTGTTTATGAAACCTTTCATGGCTCAGTTTAATGCGTTTGACGACGCCTTCGACTCCTCAGCAGCCCTTGCAGTTCTCTGTGGAGCCTCACCATTTGCGTCGGTCAAACCGATTGCTGAGGATGTGAGATTGAAAGTTCGTAATGAGTGGGCCCATTGCGACTTCACAATTTGGACAGAGGGACAATTTGACACTTGTTTTTACCTCATGGACGCTTTGGTAACGAACTTGGGAATTCCTACAACTGATGAAGCACGAATTTTGGATGAGCTTAAGTTATGGAGAACAAAAGGTAACAATGTAATACAATACAATGCAATGCAATGAAATGCAATACAATACAATACAATGCAACACAATTATACATCTTTTATTGGACTGTTTAGTGTGTAGTATCGAGGGATATTTTTACGAGTCACCTTGTATTTTGGCGAAGTTGTCGTTGACTGGTTAGAAATGAAAACTTGCCAAACTGGCATAGTTAGTAAATCGATTTTTTTTCGGGTTTTTGGGACCCTTCGAGCATCTGTCTTTCAAACATTTTCTAGGAAACAGAGATCGAATGACAAATAATTGTAAGGCTTATGATGGTCTTTCGGTTTTTCGTAATATCGACTGCAAGTAGAAAACTGAGCGAAGCAAATTGCGATAGAAAGACGAAAAATCTCGAACAAATTCAGAGAGTTTCAGAGCACTACTCGTAAACAACGGACTTGAAACCTCATCTTCGCGGGATTAACAGCAACAAAAAGTATTTGGCAAACGTGTAGAGTCTATCATGTCGAGTTTCCTCAAATTTTAAAGGAACTAGAAGGGACGATTGTTCAGTTCATTTGGTCATTTTAAATTCACTTTTCTAGTTTGTAGTACCAAAAGCCCAGATTTTACTACCAGCTATAATAAATTTGAAAGGAAATGCTAAATTAAAGTAAGGTACATGTAACAATGCTATCATCAGACTAGAAATAAAAACGTATTACATATTGTATTACAAAATGATTGTCAAGGTTTGGTCGCCATAGTAAAGATAATCGTGACGTACACGTCAATGAGACTTTCAAGTGTTCCCAGATAAATTGTAGATGACATCGCTAAGTATAGGGGTCATAGCATGACCGTTTTTTAAGTTAGTTAACTTTAAAGTTGGTGAGGGTCGTTAACCCCTTCCCCCAACCCGTCGCAAAAGTGTTGAAATTTGTCTTAGCGAAAAAACAAGACAAAACAAAAAGGGCGGGTAGGTATTTTGATTGAACATCAGCTGCACGACTATTCCTGTGAGGTGTTCAAGCGTCACGTATTGAATGGATCACGCAATAACTTGCCTGCAATCTTTTCTCCCAGGACAGGACATTTGTCTTGGCAAACCACTTGATGACACACTTCTTCAACTCATACACAAGGAAGTTCACCAACTTTCCGAGTCCTTGAATAATCATGCAGAGCAAGATAATCGTATAAGCGCAACCCTTAATCTACTTAAGTGTGAGTTTGAAAGAGCCGTTGAGTCCCTTCAAGAACAGCAAGCTTCCACGGAGATCACTTGCAAAGATCTAAGACAAAAGCAAGAAATCATTACAGAAGATGTGAAGGTTTGCTGTGAAACAACGCAGAAATTGGAAGGTCGCTGTAAACGTCTGGAGGCTAAAAGCGCTTTTATGAAGGAGGATTTGGAATTATTACTAACAGCCGTAAAAAGCTCACATTTAAAAGATTTCAGTGATATTGTCTTTGATGCCCCAGAGCAAACCAAGTGGTTTACAGGAAGAGAAAAGGAAATTAAGAACCTTGAAACGTTCCTTCCACTGAACGAACGCAACGGATTAAAAATGGCAGCCATTTGTGGTCTCGGAGGATGTGGAAAAAGTGCTTTAGCAACTCACTTTGCTTGGAAACGTAAACACGAATACGAAGGTGGTGTGTTTTGGATCTCCATGGAGGACGACAGAAAATTTGAGAACTCTGTAAACGACTTAGCCTTGCGTTTAGGTATCGAAGCAAATTCATTTGATTTCACGCTACCCAAACTTCTTACGTGGATCTCCAAGCAAGAAAAACCTTGGTTGTTGGTTCTTGATGATGTCGACCAACTAAACCTCTCTGAAAATATGCACGTGGTTTTGTCTGGTCGGTGGAAAAGACGAGCAAGCGGACATATCTTGCTAACAACAAGACGTGAACCAAAGGAGGTGTCCAGTTCGGTGGATCTTAAGCCGTCTTGCTGTGTTGAGGTTTTCTCCTTCTCACCAGAGGAAGCCAAGAGTTTTCTTCTTGCTCGATGTGGAACTGTCACTGATGGAAAGGAGATGGAGATAGATGAACTGGTGCGCGAGCTTGGTTGTCTTCCTCTTGCTTTGGAACAGGCTGGTGCACACATTAAAGCCCTTCAGTGCTCAATAGCAGACTATCTTGAATCGTACAAAATTCAGCGGGTAAAATTATTAAGTGAGCATCCGCGTGAAAAACCTTCATGGGAGTATGAGTCTCAGAATCGACTTGCAGTGCACACTACGTGGCTTTTAAACTTTGAGTACGTCAAAAAATCACCTCAAGGAGAATTGGCATCCAGATTTCTTCAAGCCTCAGCATTTTTTGCACCGAATGAGATTCAGGAAGATTTAATCAACTGTGACGTGCTCTCAACTGATGATATTTGTAACTTTCCGATAGTGAAAAGTCAGATCGTAGAAATTTTGACCAGGTTTTCGCTTTTCCATAGAGAGAGCTCCCGGTCCCTTGGATTGCACCATCTGGTTCAGGAAGTCATGCGAAACAAAATGAGTATTCAAGAAACTGTCACATCGATGCTTACAGCGGTAAAACTTCTTTATTATTCCTTTCAAGATTGCCCTTCGCCGGACGAGGTTCTTTCTTATATCACTTCAAGTGAACAAGAACAACCTTCTGCGTTCTTAACAAACAGATCTCGATTCTTTTTGTGGTCTAAACTAACAACACATGCTTCCCAGCTGCAACAGCATTTAAAAGCATTGCTGTATCAGCAGAACATCGAAAGAGAAGTCAAAGCAGCCGTTTTCACATATGAGACGTCTCGTGTTATTTATGAAAATGCCGTTCATTTAAGTGCTCATGGACATCAAGCAGAGGCCAAGGAAACTGAGCAATTTGCATTTCATATTTTTGATTCTTGTCCAGGTGATGAGAAGCCAATTTCTGGCAATGATTTGACTAAACTATTTCCATTAACCGTGCCTCTTCCTTATTTGATTCAAAAAACTCTTTTGTATTCATCTCGACAACCAGGCGAGAGCTCAGCGAAGTTCCAAGGAGACGCAAGTGAACAAAGCGAATTTATAGATGAACTTCGTTTACAAGGAAACACGCTATTCAAAAAAGGCCTTTTCAAAGAAGCAGCCGAAAAATACACAGAAGCTCTGGAAGCAAGTAGGGAAGGAAAGCAACCAGATCCACGCCTTCTAAATAATCGTGCAACTGCTTATCTCAAACTGGAAAAGTTTCAAGAATGTCTTCAAGATTCTGAGGAGTATATTAAGATTCTGCCCTCCTGCTGGAAAGGATACACAAGGAAAGCCTTGGCGCTAAATGAACTTGGATTGCAAGCTTCTGCCCTATGCTCTGCGGCCATTGCGTACTACCACAACGCCTCCTGTTGCCGTCGGTACGAGGCATTCGCAGACGCGTTCAAAGACCTGGATGGCAAGTGGAAGGTTATTGACTCCTCCCCGACCCTGCAACGCTCGTTAGAAACGAACCAGAAAGGATGTTCGCAGGGGAAAATTATCCTTTTACGAAATGGAGAGTACAGTTTCAAGGACACCAGTGACATCAGGGACATCACATTAACCGCCCTTGAAAATAGTTCAGAAGTCAGTATAACCTGCGATGAGAATGTTTTGCGAGGAAAGTGCTTTTTCCAGAACATTGTCTTTTCCGCAAAGGTGACCCTTCAGGTTGGCGAAGATGCCTGTGTGGAGTTCCGAAACTGTAGTTTTCGGAATCTTACATCGAGTTCAATGGTGTTATTTGTTAATGGCGTCGCAACTCTCTTAGAATGTACAGTCAGAGATAGCAGAGGAGGTGGAATATTCTTGCAGGGACCTAACTCTTCAGTGACAATGGTTAAATGTGAGATCAGTGGAAACGGAAGAAAAGAGAATTCATTCGCCTATGGAATAAGAGTGTTTAACCATGGGCGTTTGTTGGTTCATAAATGTCGCATCTACGGCAATGTCAGGGGAATTTGGATCGATGAGGGTCCAAACGGCCTTCCAGCAAAGGCCGCTGTAATAACAGATTGCGAGATTTATGACAATAAATACGAAGGCATTGTTGCAGGCGCAATGACGGGGTTTCCACATGATTTTACTAATGTTATTATACGCAGAAACAGGATTTATCACAATGGCACATTTGGCATCCGCGCGACGTTTGATATCAATAACATTTTATTCGAATCCAATACCGTTTTTGAAAACCTTTGGTGGGGAGTTTACGTTCACAACAACTCCGGTGGTGTTTATAAAGACAATGAGATATGCAACAACAAAATGGGAGGTATAAGGGTCGGGTACCAAACTCCAGAAAAGACACCCTGTGTGGTGATAAATAACTCCATTCACCACAATTGCGGGCCAGCCTTTTACGAGGGACTTCGTTTCTCAGAACGAAATGTATTCCCGGAAGAATTACAAACATATTTCATGAAAGCACAAGATGAAAGATGGTTTTCATCGAAGAATGTGTCTTTTCCGAATATGGTATCGGCAGAGTTTAGTTTTGGTTCCAATCATTGTGTCCAAAATGGTTATGGAGATAGACGGTTAAAGGCTTCCGTTAAGTTGCACTGTGTCTTTTGCTTTCAACGTGATTCTTCCTTGAAATTGTGCAAACGCTGTATGACAGCAGCTTACTGTAGCAAAAAATGTCAAATATTACACTGGCAAAAGCACCAGTACACGTGCAAAGCTACTGGACAAAGGAACACTATCGAGCTGACCTTTCAAGAGTCTATTCATGGTATTTGTGTCTTGAAAGGCCACCCTAGTTTGAAACCTAGTGGTCCAGATTTCTATCCAGCTCCCCCAAGAGATGGAAGTCGCTTTATTGTGAAAATACAAACCTTTGAAGCAAATGAGTTTTCAGGCGTGATAGATATGAGAGGGTTTCTCAGTGATGCGCAAGACCCAAATAAAGCTACAATGCTACTTTATGATCGGAGCCGCCATGTCAGCCTTCACTTCAGCGGTAAACCACAACTGTTTCATTTAATAATGGAATTCGGGATGATGGGGAGGAGTATGTCTCTCACGAAGAAATTGTACTGTTGGGCGGCAATCAATGATGCCAAGACGCTTCGAATTTTTTCTCACGAATTCCCCGAAGTGCAAGATTGGTAACTTCCGACGCAAATGTGACCGACGATCACCAAAAGACAGCTGGTTCTTGGAAAAAAGGAACAGGCTAAAAAGGCGGGGTTGCACGAAGTATTTGTAACGCCATCCGTTCATTTCGACGGGATAGAAATTACCATAAGAATTGCTTTATACCTTTAGACACAATTTCTACTGTAAATCAATGAATGATACTGACTTCGTTAACATATACATTCGCGTTTTCCAACAGGAACGATTTAACCGATTTCTATGATTTTTGGCATCCAGAAAGTTATTCATTTTCTTGTAGGTATAAAAACGTTTGTGATGTTGGTATATATTTAGAACCGCATTTTTGCGAAAAAATGTATTAAATAACTTCGAAATTCTACGGCAGATTTTTCCCTAATTTCAGCAAATAAACCTCAGGGCTCTCCACTTATATATCTACAAATTCGAAGTCAATCGTAACCATACAACTCGCTGCACAAAATGCTGGTCAAATTTAACCTTAAAATGCTGACGCCAAATAGAGGAAGAGTGCCAACGGACTATCTCCTATCTGAATGAGTATTCTTACCCAAAGCTTAATGAAGCACGAAACTGAATAATCAGAACCCAACGGAGACGTTAGCACAGTACAAGAAAAACAACTTTATTCTGAATGCCGGATGAGATTAAAGAACTTCTGTTTATCAAAATAAATTTATTACTATGTATCCGCCCTTTTCTTTTCGAAAAAAATCTCAAGAAAAGCATAATATAGCTTCTACTGAAAACTCCTATCAGTTTTTAGCACCGAAAGTTCCCGTTTTGAGGAAAAATAAAGCCATCAACTCAGTACTTCTAAACATCCATTTTTCAGCTGCGTCGAAAACCCTTGCACATTGGTAATTTATTCAACCTTTTTAGACTTGACATCACATTCGCACGAGCAGTTTGTCGTTGGGGATAATTAGAAGAATAAGACGATTTTCATATTTTTCTTCATCTTTCTTCTCTAGTGGCAAACTTCCCGTGCGAATGTGATGACAAGTCTAAAGAGATCTGTAGATGGTTACAAGTGCTGGAGTTGGTGGCTTTATTTCTCCCCAAATGGGGAACTTGTGGTGCTAAAGACTCTTGAGAGTTTTTCGTCGATGTTATATTTGGCTGCGTTAAGATTTGTTTCGAAAAGAGAGGCACAAATACAAGGTAAGTTTGATGAGCGGAAGTTCTCTAATCTCACCGCGCACTGAACATAAAGTTGTTCATCTTGTAGTGCTAACTGTATTTGCCGTATGTTTCTGGTTATTCAGTTTCTTGCTATAAAGCTTTGGGTAAAATTGTAGAGGAGGAGGAAGAGGGAAAAAAAAATGAGGAGAGGGAGGGTAAGTAAAACATTGTGCGTGGTCTTAAAGAGAGCTAATTTGCCTTTTTGGATTTTATTGATAGATTCCTTTAAAATCACTGAGTAATTTTTTAAAACTTGATTCCTTTTGTCTTAAGAAACATTTTCCAATTGATCCTTCTTATTTTTTAAATTGTTTTGTGTTTTTATAATAATAAGGCCCCGTCCACAAGTATCCGGATATTTTGAAATTCGCAACTATTTACTTGGGCGGAGAGTTAAGTAAAGGATTCACCATGCTCAGGAACGTCCCAAAGTTGCTTCTGAATGTCCCAAAGTGAGAGCGGAATTAGTTCAAGATATCTCGAGATCACTTCGAGTTTTTTTAATTATTCTCTAATTTATTCAAGGAAGAAAGAAGAATTTTTTGGCTTGCCCAGTGTTTGAATCGACTCACGAGTGACCCGTCAGATCAGAGGATGATTCACGAAGACTAGTACGATCCAGCATTGCAGAATCCAATGTGACTAATATATAGATTTTGCCGGGCAAAAAGCGAAGTCTGCGTTTCTTGACTTATGATAAAAGCAATCAAATTTAAACTAATAACATGAACTCGAAACCAAAAAAAAAAGAAATAAGGAGCCTTCTCCATCAGTTCACCTTTAGAGGGAGGGGCTCGATTATTAAGAAAAAGTATCCCGCAAACAAACCTGAATTGAAAAAATTATAAAATTGTTGGTCTCTTCAATAGCAGCAATTTACAGGTTACGATTTCTGTCTTAAAGGGAAGACCTAAAACGAAAATTAGGCCGACTTAGGGACTTTTGTGTTCCAGTAAGCCTATTGTATTATCTTTTCTTTCCCCATTTTTCTTTTTAAACGGGCCCGGACGAACAGCTATGTGTAGCCTTTGCACTTATTCAGTGATTTACGCAGCCTTACAATATCTGATAGAACGTTTTACCGTAAGGTATATATTTTCTTTGAGGAGAGATATAGGAAAGCAAACGATAACCTTTTTCGGTACTTATAACTATAATCCAATCATAAACCTTTAAAAAAAAAGACACAAACTCGGGCTCGAAAAGCCGACTAGTCTGTCGTTAGAATAGAGGATAACTCTTTCATATTTTAGATAAGCTCACTTTTTCAGCGAGAATATAAAGCCGTAAACAAACAACTGAAAACAACTTCATTCAAGCGGTTTCAGCTGTGTTCAGGGCACGAGTTATGGAAAAAGAGCAGCACACTGAAACTTCTTGAATGACAAGTAGTGAATAAAAAAATGAAGAGTAATTAAATGGAAATGTACGAAAACAACAATTTAGTTTTATTAAAGAATGGGGAGTAGCCCGTCTGAAGTGTTTCTACAAATCTCACGATCTGTAGTCTCACGATCGTATTTTGAGCTAATGTTATGAATGAGCAGTGACAGATAAATAACTCAAGTACTTGAAAATTTTTATTCAAAACCCCATAACTTAATCCTAAAAAGCAATTCTCGTAACACTTACTGGATCGCGGATCCGTTCACGCAAGTTAAATCAGCTGAGCAGATGGCGAAAAATCAATTTCAAATACACATTTTCCGGTTTCCATTCACGCCGATGTAAAAATGTAGAAAACGTCCATGAAACCTTTATATATATACAAATATTCCCTCTAAAAAACTTTCTTTTCTTTACTATAGAGTATACAGAATGTACCTCAAGTTTCTTCAGAAACCTCGCTGCCTCGGTTAGTTCAAAACAAGCCAAGTGCTCTGATCCGCCGTGAACTCCTCCGTCCTACCTGAAATTCGCAAATACGGTAGACGCACTAGATCCTCAACCAGCAATAAAAACTACTACGTACTAGAAATCCTTTCTCATTACAACTGGCAGAATTTGGAATTGTTTAGCGGATGAACTAGATTTGAGTTCATCCACCTTAGCTTCCTTTAAATCGGTTATTTTTAATTACTATAAGTCCGCGTTAGCTGTTTCCTATGATTGTGAAGACCCACGTTCGTTCAAGTCAATCTGTTTAAAATGTTATAGTGCTCGTCCCTTGTCTCGTCTAATAACTTGCTGTATGTAGCTGTAGTTTTTTTTGTATCGCTGTGTCTTTTAATATTTCTTGTTTTTTTAATTAGTATCCGGGCCCGCTGTAATTGGCCACAGCTGTTGCGGCGTCCCTGCCAACGTTCTTTCTGTTTGTTTTTTTGTTTTTGTTCTTTTTTTTGGCGAAGGTAATAAATAAAAAAAAGAAAACAAGGTTGAATTCCTTGAGAGTCAATTTCATAGTGCAAGGCTCTCGTTTGTCCACAAAAAGGAAACTGGGCATTCTTTTGAACTTCCTCTTTCCAACTGTGTCTTTAATCGGCGTATTTTTATAATACAAAACTTTAGTCTTGAAAAACATCACATGATGAACGCGCGCCAGCCACTTTGTTGATGGATGGCATTTACTAAGGTGTCAAATCCACCTGTTCCCCCACCCCCGATGTGGTTGACCATGTGACTTTTGTGGGGGAGGGGGGTCTAGGTGATTTAGTTTGGGTAAGAATTTTTTTCTCAAATCTCTACAGGTAGAAATTTTTTCCCTGGCACATAACAGTGTAAGGTTTTTTTTTCAGCATTATGTACGCCATGAGCGGAATTTTTTTCAGTGCAGTATACTATTTTTCCCAGTTATATCCTTACAAGCTTTATCCCCTCGAAATCAGTCTGCAGCATATTTTTTTTCTGAAATCACCTATAACCCCCTCAAAAGTCAAATGGTCGGCCCCTAAAATACACCAAATATTTGCTCAGCTGACAGATTCTGATTTGTCAATCATTTCTAAAGCCTCTTGAAACAATAAGGGATAAAACTCGCTAGGGGAGAGGGGAGGAATCTGTTTCTACTTACCTCTAGCCGGAGAGTCCGTACGGGCGTACGTACGGTGACATCATAACCAAATTTTCTCGGACAGATAGTTCACCAAATTTTGTTAGCTATCAAGGAACTCCACGCTTGCGCGTGCGCGAGACGCCGCTATAAATTGTTACTGTTTTCGTTAAAGTTACAAAATGCTGCACAAAGACCTTTTGTTTTTTTTTTGGAGTTTATTTGTTTTTACCCCAGTATCAAACAAAAACGTTTAGCCAATTTCATTTTCAACGTAATTGACTTCTTTCCCATGCATCACACATCTTTAATCAGTACATGAGACTGTTATACTCTTTTTGAAATTACGCCTGGTATAAAAAAGTAGAGAACTCTTTTTCCACCGTTTGTATTGTTGCTCACCACCAGTAACTTCATATATTCTCAGAAGACTTTTCTTTTTGTAAGAGTTATTAAGCTCTCGTAAGTTTGGGTCATAAAGTGGACAGGAATGTATGGCGGTGTTTAACATTATACGAAATTATGGCCAAGCATTTTCAACATTTGAAACAACACGGAAACACTTTTCAATTTTGGAAGAAGGTTTTTTTTTCTACCTAGAAACGGAGCGATTTCTTCCTATAACTGGAGATAAATCTTGCAAAAGTGATTGGAATTGACACGATAGGCTACAGACCAAAGTTTGATCAATTTTTTCAGGTGTCGGGAGCCAAACGAGATGTTAACACTTGACAAAAGCGTTTGGGGGTATAGGTATAGTACGCTTGGAACTGAGTGATCCATTATGATGTTGATGCAACCATCTCTCACAGCAATGAAAACCGTAACATCCTGCGAACAAGCTCTCCGAGAGACGTAACGCGCGAGCGGCACGTCACCGAAAGGAGTCGCGAGAGCAAGTTGCAAGGAAAGAAAGCGAGAGCTTGTCGTTCCTCCGCCCCTCACGGCTTCGCCGCTCTCTCGCACGTTTGCTTTCCACGCGAAATGGAGAGGTTTCTCTCACTCAATAACATTTCTAGTTAATCGTGCGTGCGTTTGGTATTCGGTGAGCCAGTTTAAGTCGGATACGTGTGGACGGGCAAATTGCATTTGAATACAGATACGTGTGGACGTGGAAATGTTTGAATCCGGAAAGAAAAAGTTGCGGATTCAAAAATACCCGGATACGTGTACACATGCCCGATACGTGTGGACGGGGTCAAAGGCTGTCCCTTAAGTCTAACCATAGAGCGAATTTGTATGCAAATGTCCGCACGGTTCCTTTACTCGAATGAGTAACTGACTTAAACGGAACGTGAAACAAGACTTCAGTAGTAAGTCATTTCCACGAGATAGAATGGAGAAAATGGTCAACAGAATAAGGCCCGTAAGTCCTTTTTGTCATTATTGGCCTGGTTCTGGCAATTTTGGCCTGATTTAGTTTTATTTTGACCCTTTTTTCGTCCGTCTGACCTTCTATAAGAAGCTTATAAGTTGGCTATTAGTATTTGCGAAATGGATGTCATTTGTGTTCAGCAATCGAACTATTATATTATCATGGTTTACAAGAGAGTTTGTAGAAAATTGCTCTATTTCAGGTTACGTTGCAAAGTACCTTGTCCAGATTAGCTAACCTTCTCGCGGATGTTCATCAGTCAGACATATTCAGACCAATTACAGCGAAGACAGTATTCAGAAGAGGCGAAACTGCAACCTGAAGTTTAAGTCCTCGTTTACGAAAGTAAGAAGAGAACGGGTTGGCGTAGGCAAAGTTTTTGTTTCTGTTGAAAAGTACAGTTATAAATATTTAAACAGCTATACAAGTATTACTTAACATTTGGAGGAACGCAATTTACAAAGCTAGCTAGACACTGACTAGGCACCCAATTAGTATGCAGTCACAAGGAAGGTACTTATGAATATTAATAAAGAGAAGGCGCTTGCTATGCACCTGCTACACTTGGTAGGCATAAAAAAAGAGTAAATCATCCCTTAATGACTTACTATTGTAAACAATGCTTCATCATAAGAAGAATATTCTGGAGCTGCAGACGCCATTTTGATTGGTACTCCCCAACCTCGACGCCCTCATAGAAGCGTAAGCAAGTGCGAGACAGCCTAAACTTGTTTTACACAGGTTTTACCTGTCCAAATTTAATTACTTTTTTCGTTAACGTTCATGGCGCTGGATGGTGGTTCGACCAAAGAAGCAGTCTAACGTTCGCATTGGTTTCTCTCCCTTCGTAGCTCAGCGTTCGTGACGAAACCAGTGCTCGCAAGGTAAGTTCCCAGCGAAGAGAGACGCAGTTTATACTCGTCGACAAGCATGGCCGCTGTGACGTAAGCCTCAGTTTCTTTCTTTCTCTCTTTTGTGGACAAATATTGCGGAAATTTGGTGATATCCTACCAAAGTTCCTGTAATTTTCTCGGTCAATGCATTTAGGTGACGTATCCGATGTTAATCATAAACGTTTTCGGATGACTCGGCAGAATGCATGCGTCGCGCTTAAAAATGAGGGCTAGGGACCAGGAAAGTTTGCTTCGACATCCAGACAACAAACGTAATATCAAACTGTTAAATAAAGCACGTTATCAGTCACAAACATGTCGATCAATGTTATTGTAAGAGAATGGTTATGAAACACGTTAGACTTCTTTGTTATAAGTTTTCGTTAGCTTTTTTGCACCTCACAGTGCACAACGTTCAATACGGCAAGCCTATCAGTTTCAACTTACTGAGCAGACCGATAGAAACATAGAATTAATTTATCCATTCACAATTAGTAAACAAAAAACAAAGGATTGTGCACGGTCAGGGAGCTTCCAACATAAACGACACTCACCGCACCGTTGTTTTTAACTTTGATATGACTTTGCAGCTGGATATACTTAATTAAAATGCGACCCCTGCCGCCGCGCCAATTAGCAAGTTCACAGATGACTTGCTCCAGTGAAGCTATTTCAATATGCAGTATCGCGGATCTTAGACAAGAACCACTTTCGGTTTTGCGTTCTAACCGAAGGCATCGCCAATTCTGATAGCTTCGATTCTTTTCGTAGATCACAAAGGGAAATAAAATAACTGGTAAGTCTTGGGGCAAGTCTACACCTTGATGACTTTAGTAGTATTTAGTTAGAAGTGTACTATTTTATGGTAATATGTATCGAATCACGGAAGTGATGAAAAACTAAAGTTCCAAAGCTATGTTCATTACTTTCGATAGGTTTAGTTTTTCCACAACTTGAATGATGTATAATTTTTTTCAGGATAACGTTTTGCTAACTCACTCGATTATTTACTTCGCTTTTTGATTATTAATGCAAAGAATGTTCCTCGTTCATAGCTGACTGATCATCTACTTACAATAAAGGCAAAGTTGAGGCGCTTTAAATCTGTCTCTTAAATTACTTGTTTTCTGGGAAGCAAGGGCACCAACATCTACAACGATATTTTTCTTGTATGTTGGTGAGTTTACATACAGGGTTTCATTTACGTCTCATGATACGTATACTGAATAACCATCGTCAAATTGTGATCGTTGACATGCATTGCATGCATGCTTGAGCGGCTATTTTGCAAAACACATTTCCCATAATTTTCTAGGATCGAAAACGTTGCGTATCTCCAACACAACACCACTAAGAATCTACCCTTCGACCATTATGACTGTTTGTAACATAACTCTCCATTCTTGTGTAATATTGAGAATCAAATGCAAATTGCAATGGGTTAGTTTAGGCCGTCTTGGCTAATACGAAAGCAAAACAATGTCTAAACAAGTCTATTGGAAGACTGTAAACTTTCCGAAATATCGCTTATAAAAAGGGAAACGTTTTGTCCTTTACGTCCCCTCACAACGGGAAAGCAACTATACCGGGTATAGCGGGTGACGGAGTCATAGCTTGGTAGCTGTAATTCCAAGAAAATAATGTAAGGAATCAAGTACAAGATCCAAAGTATGGGTAGGTTTATGATATAGGCTTTTATGTCATAAGGGAGAGAGAGAGCTTTTTTAAGCTAATGTATTTCTAACTGTTCCCGCAAACAAAGTTTCAGGAATAGGACGTTTTCGAGCCATAACTTTGTTCAGACTGCCATAAAGTTGAGCGCAGTTGTAACATATTTCTAGCGGCGGCCTAAAACCGGTCAGCCTAGCGAAACGAATTAAAAGACAAAGTTCAATCAATTTATGGAAGATGGATTCAATGGAACTTTCTGTTAAAAGAAGAGAAACTACTTCCGACTTATCAATTCTAATCGATGTTGGTTAAAATCCAGTGATTAGTTATAATTGAAAATATTTTGTTCCCCTTGCTTATTGTGCCCCATTTTCAGAGTACTTGCCTTTAAGATTGGCTAAATTTAAATATAATCAAAGCATTGTGGCATGGGGACCAGTTTTATTTTAAATTAGTTCGAATTTCTCTTTATTGTGGGGTACAAAATTTATACTGTGTTCATTTTTTTGTAGACAATTAACCATCTGAAGCTTTCGTGAATGGCGTCGCCTTCGTCAGGAAGCTTTCAGGAGCAGCGCCGGTGGCTAGTGGTGGGTATTGCTCTTCACCATGTCCTTACTCCATGCCTCAGAGATAAGATCAAAGGTGAATTGACTCCATTCTACCAGCATCTGGTACGACACTGCGGTCTGGATAAACAAACGTACCCATCTTTCATGAAGAATATTCCACCGTCCACGGTGAACTTGAACTATGAAAGTATCAACAATAACCACACTGCCACGCACCGTAGCCACTACGACTACTGTGTAAGGGATGAGGTGTCTTTGGCCAAGCTGTTTATGAAACCTTTCATGGCGACGTTCAATGCGTTTGACAGTTCCTTTGACTCTTCAGCAGCCCTAACAGTTCTTAATCAAGCTCCTCCATTCACGTCGGTCAAACCGTTCGCTGAGGATGTTAGGTCAAACGTTCGTAATGAATGGGCCCATTGTGATTTCACAGCTTGGACGCAGGGACATTATGACACATGCTTTGATCATATGGAGGCCTTACTTAAAAGCCTAAGTTTACCTCTCGTCGACGAAGCAAAAGCTTTGGATACACTGAAACTGTGGAGAAAACAAGGTAAAGTGATTATATTGGCAAGCGACTTCACTGTCAGTTTTGTTGCTAATAATTTATTTAAGCAATAGACCACACTTTCTATGGGTTTTTACCGGTGTGATAACCCACTTGGGATGTTGGAAGAACACTCGAAAAGCTTGTAAATCACGAGCTGAAGTGTTCTCCCAACATCCCAAATGGGTTATCACGCCGGTAAACCCACAGAAGTGTGGTCTATTGCTTTCATAAAAAAACTTAAAGTTTTCTATGAGTTTACCGGCACAATAAACCATAGGTTTTTAACCAATCAGAACGCACGTACTATCTTAGTTATTTTATAACATGATAGTAATAGGCAAAATCCAACAAACCTTCATCCTACCTGTACGTCGTTCGAAACAGTTCTAACGTCATAAGGCTTGTATATGTTTAAAAAAATAATGATACCATTCTCACTCAACTCAATTGGAGCACTTTAGTTACTATAATATAAAAAGCAAATCATGTAAATCCATGTTAATCCATAGTTCACCACTCCATTGATTTGTACATCAATATGGCCCCCCGTGACGGCATGTGACGGCTTCTGAGGAGGGGAGGGGGCGGTAAGCAATCAAATTCATGATGGTACTGACTTGAAAGTCATAGTTACTTTCACAGTTACATACTCTTCGCCAATTATTTTTACTCGCGTCTGAATCAGTTCTTCTTTTAAAAGAAAAATAATAACCCCTAATCAGCTGTCATTGCTTGAAGGGAAGATCCCGGGGGGGCGGGGGGGGGGGCAGTATTGAATAGCTCTTTCAAAATGGACGGAGGTTATTTTAACTTGTTGTTCGTTTATAGCGTCACGTTCTACTATATGCCTAATTCAATAACAGTTGCGGCTTTGGCAATTGGTCAGTGATAATTGGGTAGTGGGCACTTATGTATATACGGAACTCGCTGCAATAATTTGCTTGAGTGACACCAAACAATAGCATTACAGTGCGCAATTACAGTGCCCAAAGCAACCTTCACTGAATCAGCTATATAATATAATATGGTTGCTAAATACGACGCTACAACTCATTTAGTAGGTATAAATACTGGACATTTAGACATGACTCGCTCTTAGTTCAGTCTTCGTAGACAAACGTGCTAAGCGATGATGGAACACTCAAGAGGTTTATGGCCTGGGTGAAAGATGTGTTCGGAGAATGATTAATTGACAACATTTCTCGCTAGGAATTCCTGGAACAGATGAATTTCCCCCAAAAGTAAATCTTGGGGTCCTCTTGTGCCTTAACTTTTAATTATAGTCACGTGACTTGTGACATGACGCGGCGTGACCAAAACTTTACAATGAAGGAAATTTGCGAATTATTGGCACATTTACTTAGTTTGGATAAATAAATCGGCGTTTCTGATAGAGATAAACATCATTTACTTTCTAAGTTTGGCAAGAATATACTCGAAGTTTGAAATTAAAGTTTTGAATTATTCAAGATTAAGTTTGGCCTTTTAAAATGATGTCTGTCCTCATAATTTTTTTTTATTGAAGTGCAATGGACAGTCATTCCAAAAGTGAAGTGTTAGAAATATTTAATATGACTAAGAAAAATTTTATCGCTTGATTTCTTTTCTTAAAGCCGTCACCAATTTGACAGTTCTTGAAGATTTTTAGTAAAATAGTCAGGTGACCTATCACGTGACTTAACAGCACAATATTTATACTTTAAAATGTTAAGAACGATGAGTTCTTTATTTGTGCCAAATTTCACATTAGCTCCATCCTGTTTCGAAGTTATAGCCAATAAAGCTTAATTACCATAGGTAAACTCAAAATTGGCGCGGAAGAGGTTTTAAGATTCCAACCTGATTGTCGCTGTTAATTCCTGGTAAACTATGCATTGCACTTCTTAACTCGCACATTCCACGACTGGTTGACTTTGTATATATTTCTGCAGTATTAGTGGCCCCTTTTTTCTATGACATGTCCTCATCTTTAACAGCAGTGATACCTCGTACTGATTTTTCTTTTGTAATTATATATTGACCAAAACGATTCTCTGTTAGTAAATTAAAACTGCAGCTTTTGGCCTCGTTCTCTTCATCCGCAAGAACAACGTTTCCGAATACTGAAATTTCTAAAGACTCAGTTGAAATACCTTAAGCGGTTCCTTTCGTTAAAGGTTGTACGGAGCCAGGCTTTTCCATGAGAAAAAAATGGAAACAAACAAATAACTTTTCATCTGAAGTTTATGTTTACTGAGGAAAATACCTCTTTCTACGCTCTATACATGCACTATCAAGCTTGTTTACAGAGGTTCCGTCGTCAGGCACTTAGAATCGCGATTTTGTTTTCGCGTTTCATATTTTTGTGTCTAAGATTGCTCTTGTTTCGTTTTTAAGTAACTGTTAAATCACCTGCAATGTTTTTCTACAGGGCAAGACATATGTCTTGGAAAGCCCCTTGACGACACTCTTCTTCAACTCGTACGGAAGGAAGTTCAACAACTATCTGACTCGTTTGATAATCTGAAGGACGAAAACAGGCGCATATACGATATTCTTAGCCTTTTTAAATCTGAGTTAGATAAGGCCATTGCCACTCTTCAAGAAAAGCAAGCTGAGTTAGAAGAAACTTGCAAAGAACTTAGGCAACATAAAGAAATGTTCACAGAGAAAATGAGTGCCAAGGATAAGGAACTGGAGATGTGCCGGGAAAGTACGCAAGAAGTGCACCACCTCTGCAAACGTTTAGAAATGAAAACGAGTTCTATGCAGCAAGATTTTGATTTCTTAAAAACAGCGGTAAAAAGCTTACCACATTCAGAAGATTTCAGTGATATTGTATTTGACGCCCCAGAGCAAACCAAGTGGTTTACGAAAAGAGAAAAAGAAATTGAAAATATTGAAAACTGCCTTCCACTGAACGAACGCAAAGAATTAAAGATGGCAGCCATTTGTGGTCTCGGGGGATGTGGAAAGAGCACTCTATCATCTTACTTCGCTTGGAAACGTAAGCAAGAATACGAAGGGGGCGTGTTTTGGTTCTCCATGGAGGACGACAGAAAGTTTGAAAGCTCTGTAAGTGACCTCGCTCTGCGTTTAGGCATTGAGGCAAATTCATTTGATTTCACCCTGTCCAAACTTCTTTTGTGGATCTCCAAGCAGGAAAAACCTTGGTTGATGGTTCTTGATGATGTCGACCAACTAAAATTCTCTGAACAAATGCACATGATTCTGTCTGGTCGGTGGAAAAGACGAGCACATGGCCACATCCTACTTACCACAAGACGTGAATCAAAGGAAGTGTGTAGTTCGGTGGATCTTGAGCCATCTTGCTGTCTTGAGGTTTTATCCTTTTCAGAAGAAGAAGCCAAGAGGTTTCTTCGTGTCCGATGTGGTGCCACCACTACAGGAAAAGAGGTGGAGTTAGATGAGCTGGTGTGCGAACTTGGTTGTCTTCCTCTTGCATTAGAACAAGCTGGTGCACACATCAAAGCCCTTCAGTGTTCAATCGCGGACGATCTTGAATCATACAAAATTCAGCGAGTGCAGTTATTAAGTGAGCATCCGCGTGCAAAACCATTATGGGAGTATGAGTCACAAAACCGACTTGCAGTGCACACTACGTGGCTTTTAAACTTTGAGTACGTTAAAAAATCACCGCAAGGCGAATTAGCATCTAAATTTTTAGAAGCCTCAGCATTTTTTGCACCAAATGAAATTCAGGAAGAACTTATCAATTGTGAACTGCTTTCTACTGATAAAAATTCTAAAATTCTATTGATGAAAAACCAGATCGTAGAGGTTTTGACCAAGTTTTCACTCTTCCAGAGGAAAAGCAACAGAACTCTTGCTTTGCACCGGCTGGTTCAGGAAGTAATTCGCAACAAAATGACCTTTCAAGAAACGGCCACCTCGATGCGTACAGCCGTCAAACTTCTTCATCAGGCTTTTCGAGATTGTCCATCGCCAGATGAAGTCCTTGTTTGCGTCTCATCAAGTGACCAAGAGCAACCGTCTGCTTTCTTAACAAACCAATCTCGGTTCTATTTGTGGTCCAAACTAACAACACATGCTTCCGAGTTACATCAGCATCTAAAAGCATTGCTGTACGAGGAAAACATTGGTAGAGAAATCAAAACAGTGGCGTTAACTAGTGAGACGTCTCGTGTTGTTTACGAAAATGCCATCCAACTTAGTGTGCATGCACATCAAGCAGAGGCCATGGAAGCCGAAAGATTAGCATTTCGTATTTTTGATTCTTGTCCAAGTGCTGACGGGCGCATTTCTAAGGAGGATGTAACTAAACTATTTCCTCACGTTTTACCTCTCTTTCAAGTGATTCAAAAAACGGTGTTGTATTCATCTCGACGACCAGTGGAGTGTCCCAGGCTTTCAGGACATGTCACCGAACACAGCCATTTTGCTGATGAACCACTTCCTTTCCGAGGAAATACTCTTTACAAAGAAGGATGCTATAAAGAGGCCGTTGAAGTTTACTCAGAAGCCCTCGAAGCATATGATGAAGGGAAGCAACCGGACCCTCGTTTGCTTAATAATCGAGCAACTGCGTATCTCAAACTGGGAAATTTTCAACAGTGTCTACAAGATTCCGAGGAGTACATTAAGATTTTTCCCACTTGCTGGAAAGGATACACGAGGAAAGCCTTAGCTCTCAATGGACTTGGATTGCGTTTTCCTGCCTTGTGTTTGGAGCCATTGCCTACTACCGCGATGAAAACAGTTGTCGTCGTTTCGAGCCATTTGTTAACGTGTTTAAGGACCTAGATGGGAAATGGGTAGTTGTTGATTCCTCCGAATCTCTTCAACATTGTCTTAAACTTAACCATGAATACCGTTGGGGGAGGACAGTTCTTCTTAGGAATAGGCAGTATGATTTAGCCGACTTCCAAATTATTAGCAATACCACTTTAGCTGCTCTTGAAAAAAACTCAGATGTTACCATCACCTGTGATCGGCCTTTTTTCCGCCTTAAGTGCTTTTGCCAGAACATCGCCTTCATAGGAAAAGAGGATCTTACTATAACTCCAGATGCGAATGTGGAGTTTCACAAATGCAGTTTTCGGAACTGTACACCAATGAAATCGGTGTTGTCAGTTTCTGGATCAGCAAAGTTCGTTGAATGCACAGTTAAGGACAGTAGAGGAAGTGGAATAGGCGCACATGGACTTAACTCATCGGTTACACTGATTAATTGTGAGATCAGTGGAAACGGAAACAAGGAAAACGGGTACGCCTATGGAATAAGGGTGTTTGGTAAAGGGCGCTTATTAGCTCATGAATGCCGGATACATGGCAATGTCAGAGGAATTTGGCTTGACGAAGGTCCAATGGGTGGTCCTGGTACTCAAGCACAGGGAGCAGTAATAACAGATTGTGAGATTTATGACAATAAATACGAAGGCGTTGTGGTAGGTGGCGTTCCAGTGCTTTCACATGAATTTCCCTTAGTTATCATGCGTGGGAACAAGATTTATCACAACGGCACGTTTGGTGTTCGCTCGACCTTAAATATCAACAACATTCTGTTTGAAAACAGCAATGTGTTTGAAAACCTTTGGTGGGGACTTTGTGTCCACAACAACTCTGGCGGTGTCTATAAAGACAATGAGATTTGTAACAACAAAATGGGTGGTATAATCGTGGGACCCCAAGCTCCTGGAAAGCCACCTTGTGTGGTAGTGAGAAACTTTATCCATGACAATTGTGGGCCAGCTTATCGTGAAGAACTTCGTTTCGCCGAACGCAATTCTTTTCCAGTAGAGTTACATACTCATTTTAACAGCATGAAACAAAAAGGAAGAAAAAAACCATGGTTACTTTACAATGTATCTTTTCCAGGCATGGTAATGGCAGAGTTCAGCTCCAATCGTTGTTTTGAAAATGATCACACACAGAGACCTGTTGAGACGGACACCTTGAAGGCGTACTGTACCTTTTGCTTTCGACACGGTTTTGACATGAAATCGTGCAAAGGCTGTATGACAGCAAAGTACTGCGACAAAAAATGCCAAATCCTACACTGGAAAAAGCATAAGCGAACATGCAAAGCTGCGGGACAAAAAAATTCTGTGGATGTAAAAATGCCTCTTTTAGCGCTGGGTACTACTTCTGTAATTACCTCTCATCCAAGTTTGCAACCTGGTGGTCCAGACCACTATCCTCCTCCTCCAAAGGATGGTAGTCGTTTTATTGTAAAGATACAAACCTCCGAAGAAGGTTTTTATGGAGACATTATAGATATGAGAGGGTTCGTAAGTGATGAACAAGACCCATATAAAGCTCAGATGATGCTTTATGATCTTAGCCGTCATGTGTTGTTTCAATTTAGTGGTAAACCACAACTATATCATTTAATAATGGAGTGCGGAGTTATCGGAAAGATGTGTAATCTCACAAAGAAGTTGTACTGTTGGGCAGCATTCAAAGATGCTCAAACTCTTCGAATTTTTACTCACGAACTTCCAGAATTGCAAGAGTGGTGATAAGCAAGTAATACAAAACAGGTCACCACGTGCATAAAAGCGTGCCCGTGTAAGAACTCTTTACTCAACAAGACTGGGTCACGGCAGTCCAGACCATTTTGTCTAAAAGTATTGTCAAGTTGACGTTACAAAAAAAAAAAATTGTAAGTGAAAAAGTCACAGCTTCGTGATAAATGAATTTGTCTCCCGAGTGTTATAATTGAAGTTATAAAAAGCAGAGATGAACTTTAACAATTGCTAAGCTAAACAGGTTTCCAAAAAAAATAATCAAGTAGTAATCCGATATAATCTCCTTCCGTTTTTTTTGTCATTCCTGCCCTCTTTAATTTTGTATTTGCTGTGTTATTTAAAATTATACCTCGATGTTTTAAGCGGTTACCTTTGTGCGTGTGCACTCACTGATTTGCTGACCAGTTCCCTTGTTTAGTGGACGAATTTGCATTGTGCTCAATTTCTCTTAGGAAGACTGCAATACGCTAGAAAAACTTAAAATGTGTCCCTCAGTTGTTTCTGCGATCGTTACTAGGGACGCGCTAGTCAGCCATTGGCCAATTTCTTTTCCACACCTGGTAACAGTCCCAAAAATCTTTGCGAAAGTTAGTTTACTTGGCCCCGCTTTCTTCTACTTTTTTAAAACAGTGAATTGAGCGTTAACGAATCTTTCCTTAAATTTGAAACAGTTTCTTATTTTCTAAAATCTCTAGCTATAAAAACATACTCTGTACAGTTGGGAAAATAAGGTAGGTCAACCTATGGAGAACATAGGTGCCTTATCAGTTCAACTCTAATGTACCAGTGTGCAGATATCTTTTATACAAGGGAATATTTAACCTGAATACCACTTAATACTCTTAGGTACAATGAATTTTATCCTTCTGGAAATAAGAGCCTTTTCATGAACCTGTAAGGCTGGGAAAAGGTTTTTACTGTATGGGGTTGGCACTTATTTAAGGAATTGCGTTTTAACGTATTTTATTGTTTCTTAAAAGAAACGATAAAACCGGATTAATTGTGGGTCAATTGTGCACTGACCTACAAATTGAATATCTGGTGTACCTTGTTTCTTTATACGATTTCTTAGTACTTACCCACGAGGTGCAGAAAACGTAAATATTTTCTTGTTCATCATCTTATTCTTCGTCTTGATAAATCTGACAAATCATCCTTATTCAGATTTTGTTGACAATATTTTCACCCCGGTTGGATATAGCCTGCGTGCAAAGCGAAGCGAAAGCAGGGCCTGACCTCAGGTTAGCGTGCAGCCGCCGAGGACAACGGTTATGCAATTTTTTTACGGAGAGGAGTAAACAATGGAAAAATTGTTTAACCATAATTGTTATATTCCTAGACTTTCACTCAACTAAACATGGACTGCTTTGGTTGATTCTTGGTCACATGGCCTTGACTAAAATCAAATGTATGCGGGATGTCCTCGATATAACGAACGAATTCTCTTTCCCCCAGTAATATTTAAATATGTGAAAAAGAACCTCGATATAGCGAAACCTCGTTATGGCGAACAAATTTTGCCAGTCGTTTGGCCCTTGAGGTTATACGGAGGATCCACTTTCCTCGGGAAAATGACATTATTTTCAAAAATAAACTCAAATTCGGTCTCCAAGCTCCTATCACAAGTCCCCACTCTAAAACTGACAACTGATATTCATCAATACATGATATTGACGAATGGGTGTCAATTTTCGGACAAGGAGTATCGCGTGCATTAAGTCACGAAATCTCAAGGATAGCTGGTGGTACACGCTTAAGGTTCTGCGCGTTCGGAGCTAAATTGAAACCTTCTGAGTCGAAGAGACAGGTTAGTTCTAAAACAAAACAACGAGAACAGTTATATACTATCCATTTTACTCAGTTCTCGGCAGTTTCGAGAATTGAATTTGCTTTTTTCCACAATTCGGATCCCCA